ACCCAGGGGGACAGCTTAAGGCTCTATCTCGAAAAAAAAAAAAAAAAAGTAAAAAAATTAGCCGGCCATTGTGGCTCGTAGTCTGAGCCTAATGGGAGGCCAAGGCAGGAGGATTACTTCAGCCCAGGAATTGGTGGTTATAGTGAGCTATGATCGTGCCTGGGCAACACACTCCTGCCTGGGCAACAGAACAATACCTTGACTCTATAAAATAATCAAATAAATAATTACATGGAAAAAATTCATGAAAGAATAAATAGTACAGAAAAAAGGCAACGTGATCTTGAGAACAAAGTAATAAAAATTAATTCAAACTGAGAAAAAGGGTGAGGGAATACACACACATACACACACACACACACACACACACACACACCTTTTAATTGAGATAGAGTTTCACTCTGTTGCCCAGGCTAGAGTGCCAGGGTGTCAGCCTAGCTCAATGTAACCTCAAACTCCTTGGTTCAGGGGATCCTCCTGTCTCAGCCATAAAGAACATACATACTTTGGATTCAAAGCAATGACAATACAAAAAAATTATAAAGGCTTTCTAATAAATAAAATAATAAACAACTTGTTGATTTCTATCTGGAAAAGCAAAGGATCTAGGAATTATTCTCAATTTAAGCCTTACAATCAAACTACAGTTAATAAGACAATCAGTTACTGCCCTAAAAATGTAACAAAAGAAAATCAAGAAATAGATCCACACATATAACGTTTGAGCATCCTAATTTGAAAATCCACAATGCTCCAGAATATGGAAACCTATACTGAAAGGAAATACTCACAGGAGCATTTCAGACTTTGGATTTCCAAATTGGGAGTGTCCGACAAGTATAGTATACATATTCCAAAACCTAAAAACATCTGAAGTCTGAAACATTTCAAGCATTTGGGTCCCATTTTGGAAAAGGGACACCCAACATACACAACTGACTGATCTTGTTTTCAAAAGTTCAAAAGGCAAATCAATGGGGAAAGAGACGTCTTCACAGCAGAACGT